GTAGAGCGTTTTGCCAATTCTGTAGACACTAGAATTATGTGAAGCAGAGCAGAATGCAAGTTGTAATCGTTATCTCATGTATTGAAATACTATACGATATTTTACGGAAAACGTGCTCAAACATTTTATACATATTATTATTTAATTATTAATTTATATTTGTTATTATTTATTATTATTTTCATTATTTATTATTTTGTACTATCGGTTATCGAGTCTTTTGGCGCGGCGCGGTAAGACGCGGGAACGACGACGTAACCATGGGCAGCGGCGCGCTGCCTTCCCCTTACCGCGCGCCGACGGCCTATAATGGTACACACTGGGCCGTCCTACGGCTCAGGCGGCTTGAGCGCTTCTCGCGGCGCGCTCTTATTCGCCTGACTTTAACATTAAATATTTCTGTTATTATTGCAAATATCGCAAAATGGTATTAGACTTTTTTGTTCGTCTCGATCTCCTCTATCACCTCACGAGAGTTGTTAAGGGTGCTTTGGGACACCCTGTATATATATACATACATACCACGTGTAAAACTATTTTCTGCATCGCTATCTTCATTAGGTTTTTGTGTAAAATCTTTTGTTTTTTGAAAAATTTTTAATGTCAATAATTTTATCTAAAAAGCGAAAACATTACTATGTAAAAAAAATCACTTTTGATATAACATTATAGTCTTCATAAATTATTAGGTACTGCTTACCACTTCCATTTATTGTATAAGAAGTATTTCTTTCGCATAATACATTTGAAGAATTGTTTTCTATGGATTTCTGAGTGTGCAGTTTTTTTTGAGATACAAAGTTTTCAATTTCTGGATAAGGAGGCAAGAGTTTGATGCCAGTTTGTCTTACATGATTGTGTTTATCTTCATTAAAACATATATCTTCATCTGAAGAAGATGATATAATTTTTTTGGCTTTCTCGCGTCTTCTTTTTTTCTTCTGATTTTTTAATTCATCGGAAGATACATCTATATTAGATGTGTCCTCTGCAAGGACTAATTTTTCCATTCCTTCTTCGTAATTATCTTTAGAATTTGAAACAATGTTATATAATAAATTATAATTCACAAATAATAACTTGTAAGATATGTTATAGATAGGAAAAAATACTTTTCTAAAATTTATTATATAAATTAGTCTTAATATAACAATTAACTTTTACCTGCTCTGCCAAAAATCCTTTTTACTGGTAATACGTCCCATTCAATATTTTGTGGCATCTCTCTTGTCATTATAGCTTTATTTATTCTAAATTTACTTTTAAAATGAGTAGGCCAAATACTTGAATTTCTATCTGCATTGTACCACAATGCAGGTATTAATTGAAGTCCATCGTGAAATTCCGCAATTACATATGCATTAATATTCATTTTTCTTTAAAATGCAAAATACTTGTGTATACATATATTGAGGCATGAAAAACATAAATGTAACGCATTATATTTATGTAATGTATTAAGAATTCAAAATGTTTTTTGAGCATTATATTGAACATGTCTAGCGCATTATATATGCTAAACAAAATATATGTAATATATATACAGATTGATGTGAAAATTATTGCAGTTATTGTTATTTGAAAGCGTTTTACATAGTATGATTTAAGGGAAATACTGCGAATGTGTTAGGCTTATTTGCGAAAGGAATTTTCCATGCTTTACAGAGCACATCTGTAATTGAATAAAATAACATTTCATCGCTATTGAGCATCATTATTTTTATACAAAAATCGCTTGATTTACAAGGTATTTCATATATATTGTTTACATAATTAAGTTTTTTACCAATCACAAAAATATTTTCATTTTTTTTCACTATATTTAAAATAATATAATATAACACCCATTTCTTAAAAGACAACAACTATTACTATTATTATTACTTTTGCAATGTATATGAAATTTTTTAGTGGATAACTGTAAATATTGTAAATATTGTGATTTAAAATGAATACAATCAAGAATTGGTCCATTATTATGTAAATATTTTTAGTGAATATAAATTTTCAATATTGTAATTAGGTACTTTTTTTGGTGAGAGAAAATTAATATTTTCTTTTTCTTTATATCTTTTTATCAATTGTTGCAGTGGCTTTTCATTCTTTCTTAATAGTTTTTTTATGGACATCATGTAATTCTCAAAACGAAATGCACTGAACTGATCTAATGGACCAAATATTCTGACATCTGA